TGTATTTTCTCCCACAGACAATCATAAATTTCCGAGTATGTGTATTATCAGTTCATAGTTAAATAATATTAAATACATATATTTGATTGTGTAATATCGTTAGTGATAAGTTTATTAAAGTAGGTATTTTTTCTAGTAACGAGCTTGTATGTACGATTTTTTTTAAGAATGCGTTACTGCGGAGTTGTGTGCTACGTGTTTATTACTCGTATGTCCCTCGAGAATTTACTGAAGTTTTAATCCTATTTAGAGCGGAAGGCACATCCTTCTTAAATAATCAAAGGCCGAGCAGAATTTTGGCTGGCCCATCGGATGGTAAGCGTTAACATGCATAGCATTATTCGGACATCACATTATTATGTGACACCCGTGATAATTATGTGTTCGCTTCTTCCAGAGGACTTCCAGAGGACTAAGACGTCACGCCTTTAATAAATTTTCTAGTACTTTCACTGTCAAATATACACCTATCAACCAAAACACAGCTTACGAAGCAACTTTTTGGTTTTTATTTAAAATGGAGTAATATTCTATTTAGAACTTAATTCTATGTGTTTATCATGATTAAGCATGTATATACACCTACTTACCGAATAAAATAAAGTTCTGTAACATTTCTGTTCGCAAATTAAAAACTTGCTTACTATTGTAATTCATTTGTGGACATACCTATAGGTATAAATTCAATCATTTAGGTATTTCGAAACTTTTGAAAACGGCGGCCACAAGTCAAACAATAAAATTAAGAAAGTCCTTATTGACTTACTTAAACTTAATTCCTTTGGAGTACATAATTAAAATATAAACCGGTACTTTCTTGGCTTCGCGACAATTCAAGTAAAAATTGCCTCCCGACGTTATCGTCAGGTGATATAGTGACATGAGGGCATTCAATCAACAGCTACCTGTATAAGTATCAGCAGGTATACTCGCATATGTGTGTACATACTTTTCGTTTTAATAGAAAAAATAGCATTTTAAAGTGCTTTGTGTAGGGATTGTTGTTAAAGCATAGTATTTATGCTTGTACAAATGCACTAGTAAAATAAATTAAAAAACTTTAAAATGGAATGGCAAAGATGGTAGCTCACGTAACAGAAAGGTTACCGTCACCTATATACCTACATAAGCGGCCTCAAATATACATTGTAATTACATATTTTCGATTCCCCCTGGAAACCAACAGGGTAAATTGCCATTTGCCGAGATGTACTAAGTCCCGCCAGCGTAAACCGTTAGCGCATGCAGCATTCCATTATCATCTACATCAAAAATATATTATTTTTAACTGACATCATATTAATTTTCTACTGGTTCGAGGTTTGAACCAGCCTTGCCTAGTGGAGCCCTCAGACTGAAGTCGTATTCGTCCTTCTGCCAGATGGTCAGGAGTTGGCCTTAGCTGCACCATTCGTTCAAATGTCTGTGCCAGTCCGTCCGCGGATTTGAATTAGTACCTACATCTTCACTAGACCACATTTCATCTGGCGAAGCTATAAAGGTCAGCACGACGATTAACACTGTTAGAATAGATCCGAAACAACATTTAGTTGTGTCCAACTGTGCATACCATTAGGGTAAGCGTGTTCACTATTCCATCTTCTTATAGTAACCTGTTAATCTCTGTAGGTCGTTCATGAATATCTCAGATAGTTGTAAACTCAAAATACAATAAAATATGTAAGTACATTTGCCATTCACTCACGTAATTAATTTGAAAAACTATATTTTTCTGCTGTTAATTTAGGTATATATAAATTAAGATCACACTTTCGTTTAAAGACTCTATTAGCAATGACTTTACTGCAGATTGGAATTTAAATTGAACGTTTATGTGACAACCCTAGAAAGAGGCTATTAGCCGTATGGTTGTAAATTGTGGAATTAGCCAAAGGCGCCGCGGTGACGGCGTTTTCATTTAGTTCATGGATCTAGAATTTGTACTAAGAAAAAGCGGATTGCTATCATTGTTTTCGGAATTATAGTTTAGATACTAAATTTGAACCAATAGGACAAGCGAGCATGCGTTTTGACCGATGGCTCGAAGTTAATTGTATCTGTAATCCACCATCTTCTGTCTTTTCTCTCCCAAAGGTGGTCTGGAAGAGATTGATTAAGCGATAAGGCTACTTTTTATACCTACATATTATACATACTTATATATATTCTGTGTTTATTGTGCCTTTTTAAAGGTGCAATAAATAGTAATCTTAATCTTAATAATAATATTATAAACGCGAAAGTTTCTCAGTATGGATGATTGTTACTATTTCTCGAAAAACTACTGATCGGATTTTGATGAAACTTTACAATAATATAGCTGATGCATCAGAATAACAGACAGGTTATATTTTTTATTGAAATTAATGCGGTTGAGACCGCGGGCACAGCAAATAAATAAAATAAATAGGTAACAGCAAAGGTAGGTACCGCAGATGTATAATAAGATATAGGTAACTGAATACTTCAATTGTAAGAGATCGCATGACTCTTAAACGTTCAATATAAAAATAGTCATAGAGTCACGTGGGGCAAGTGTGCGCACTTAAGGTTTGAAGTATCATATAATAAAATATTTGAAGTTAACTGGAACAAAACAAGGTTTATTATATAAAATATTTAATAATCAACAACTTAAACGCAAAATAGATAATTATCATTTACACAAATTCTTTGGAAATCAACAAAATCAAAACTGTTTAAATGCGCACACTTACCCAAGTATAGGGGTAAGTGTGCGCAGTAGTGATGTACGCAACATGTAACATACAGTAAATAGAGTCAGACTCATATGATAAACCAGAAAATAGACATCCTCAACCTAATAATACAACAGTTCAAATAATTCCTTTTCAAAGTTATTGCATTGTTCATGCCACCAGCTCTTACAGATGCTGTATTGGATCCAGTCTTCATTCGGTGGAAATATGTATTTTTCTCCACACAGAGGGCAAAATAATTCCTGCTCATCATTTTATTTATTTTCAGATCAAGTCGTATCTTCTTTTTTGGCAATTTATTCTTCCTCTTGTTTTTTGTTTTTCTAATTCTACTTTATAAGGACTTACAGTATCAATGATTGACTTTTTGCCTTTCGTTCGCCGATTTTGAATCACAGTCATTCATCCAAGAAATGCCTAAGGCCAACTTCGGTATTTCTTGGATGGATAACAGTCGTACATATTCATTCCTAGACGAAGGTACACTCATTATTGCGGGTGCCACATTGTCGTTTGCTACCAGCCTCCGAAATTAATCTTTTAACAGCTTCTAGCTGTTCCTCTGTGACAACACTTCTATCCGGCATTTCTTTTATAATCGAGGTATTTTTTATGTATAATTAAACTCTGAAATAACAAATTGCATCATAAATACAAAGCCAAAGCGGAGCGGGGTAAGTATTCGCATGCGCACACTTACCCGACATTCGTATGCGCACACTTACCCCAAACCATCAAAATAAAATTTAACCAGAACTGAGCAATATTACGTAATCGTCATCACCAAAAGATTAAACACGGCTTATATTACATAAAATGTACTGTTCGATGGTATAAAGCATGATTTCAAAATATAAATATATTACAAAGGAATGAGTCCCTCATTTAAGACAAAAATCGCAATATTTCAAGCAAAAAACAATACTCACTTACGAAAAAAGTTGCACTAAGTATAGCCTTTTGTGCGCTAATGAGGAGGGGTGTTATCAGTTCGTACCTATAAACCGTTTTTGAAATACTTCGAGTGCGTACACTTACCCGCTGCGCACACTTGCCCCACGTGACTCTACTGATTCCATAGACCAGGTCTAGAAACTTGAAATTTTGTTTTGTAGTTCTCTATAGTATTGCAATCTAAGTAGGTAAGTAAGTGGACTATAGACCTAATATAACAGGAACGCAAGCAAAATAAAACCGGGTAGGCAAAGATGCAGGAAACAGGTAATGAATAAGTGCAATTAGGTACATATGATATTCTCTGTTTACTACACATTATTTAACAAGCTATTATCCACGACAAGTTAAGGTGTAAGATTTAAGAATGTTAATCTATTCGTGACGTGACCCTTCAAATATGGGTGGGTATTATTAATGACACCCATTAAATAGTAATTTATCTACATCAATAGGGCATCAATAGACTGTTTCGACGGTAATTAATTACACTCTCCGCAGTGCAAGAAAAACGAACTTATTACTCTTACCTATAATTATTATAAAGGTTTAATTTATTGGGTATAGATAAATATTTCACTGAATTCTAAGAAGAAAATGGGACGAAACTTTCAAAACAAAAGAAAATACCTAAGTTTGTTTGATAATTTATCTTACGTTACAAGGAACAAAAAACTTATTGAATTCAATGTATTCATTTTCTTCTTAGAATTTATTGTATTTTGAAGATATATTTATACTAAAATATTATATTAATGTATATTTTTTTTTAATATATAGTACGTATTTAAATTTTAATTACATTGATTTGCGCCATCTATTATTAATAACAAGTATTATGTAGACATTACTCAGTTGCTATGCTACGATAAACATAACTCTAGTTTTTACTATTCTATGAGAGAGATGGCGCGGTGATTACTGATTAAAATAATAAGTATAATTTGAAGATATTGTTATTAAAATTATTTTAATTTTAATTTCTTGGTAATGTACTTTCTTTATTTTATAATAACGTATTTTGGTTTCTTTATCTAACTAAACAGCATTATTTTCAAAACGTTACTGCCATCTATCGGAGAAGTGGACTGTCTATACTTTTATTTATAATATTACATTCTTCTCATAACGCCATCTGTTAGTTGTCTCAAATAAATTTTTACCCACCTGATTTCTAGCAAGTAACATATGATTGGTTAAAGAACATGCTTCTTGTAATTTAACCAATGAGAAGAGGGTTAAAATAAAAACAAAAGTGATTTTAGTGGACTTTACAGTCAATGATCAATGAGAACAAAATTTGTTTCTGTTTTTCAACTTCTTGGTTCGTCCGTATTCGTAACTTCGGAGGCAGAATAAATTCGTTTTGCTACTACACTGCTACTTTTGATGACTGTTTCTGTTTCCATTTCGTGTCTACTGTGCAAGTTCACGAATAAATTGTGTACTTTTGTGAAGTGCATTATAAAATGACCTAAATTGTGTATTGTGAGCTTTTTCTAACGAGTACGGAATTAAATAACTAAAAGGAAATCGTGGAAAGCGATATGATACTCTGCTTGGCAGTGTTCTAAGATTGTGTTCATATCGTGAAAATTTTATACTGTGCCTGATAAACTAATTGAGATGGCTTCAAAACCAACTAATCAGAAACGGAGGTAAGTGAACTGATTATACTTTTGTACCATTCAACCGAGTACGAAACTGATAAAAGTGTTGTATGGTCAGCGTGGTGAATTTAATGGAATATTTCCGTCGCTTTATGTCACCATAATACACACTGTAATGTAACTTTCTCTTTGGTTATTATCGTGAATGTTTGTATATTTAATAGGGGCCATAATTATATTACTAAGCTTACAGGGTTTCCTTCCTATAAATATTTTAAACTAATGAATGTCTCCTAAATCTAAACAATGTGACCATTTAGAGAGATTGGACAGAGCCCATATAAATTAAAAAATATGATTTATATAGCTGGAATTTTAAAATTTATTCTGTATTTTAGTACTAAACTGTTTAATCACAGTTATATAAAAAATTAGTTATACTTATGCAATCTTAACCTTATTCAAAACAGGTTTTTCATTGAAAAGCATAAGATTCTCCAAATGTTATGAGAGTCTAAAAATGTACCTCCAAAGATTATTAGACTCCAAGAATAAAGGCTGATTAAATTAAATTGAATTAAATTTAATTATATGATATACCGAAAATAATTTCATGTTATAATAACAAATACCATACTGTTCGAAATAGTTTATTCACTTCTCATTTTTTAATTAAATGCTGACTAAAATTTGTGGCTACTGTCTTTTTTATACTGCTAAAGGTTTGAACATATGTACCAGAAGTATAAACTTTAATGTTACTATTTAGCGATAGAGGTTATTGTATTGACTAAAATTATATAACTAGATATCTCCTGCAGCCTTGGCCTTGTTGATTTGGGTGAAAGTTTTGTACATATTAGTTTATGTTTAATCCATATATGAAATATGATTTTTCAAACCAACTCTCAAATTATGACTACTAAGCATCCAAACATCTTAAAGATCGGAAATAACAGTAGTACAATCTTTACCATTCCTAAATTTAATATTATTTATTTACTAATAGATATTTGAGCAAAAGAATTTATCTGAGGTATTAATGATTATTGAGTTTATATAAATTTTCATATTGCATATTTTCTGACATATTTAATATCTAATTTAAACAGTATATATATATTATTTAACTGTCTGTTGTTCATCAGTAAGTCCAAATTCCTTTGATCAAAATTGAATTTGTGACATTTTGCTTGATTACTTTTGATTTGCATATTACTTACATACTGCATGGTTATCAAATTATCTAAACATTCTAATCATTTGATACTCTACATTTTAGAGCACAGTAAAATGTAGAATGTATTTAAATCAGTATTATGATTAGATTCAGTAGTAGATTGGCTGCTAGTTGAAAATTGTCATGTTGTAATAATCATGGATGTTTATCCAAACATCATTTACATTAATACAGTCAGCTAATATAATACAACCAAAGAATATGTTGGAAATGCAACATCAAGCTGACTCTGAAACCATTCTGGAATAGGGTTCAGAAAGACAAGAGTTCAATGGAGGAGGGCGAGAAAAAATACTATATTATTGTTATACTATAGTCATCAAAGCTTTCACTCAAATTCACATTATGAGAGAAGGGTTTTGGCTTCAGTTTTTTTATAACTGGCCGCCTGCCTGACACTCATCCCTTCTTGGGCATAAGATGTAAGTTGTTTTGTTTGCCATACCAATTACATTAATATAGTGTTGTTGTAATATAATATAATATCTGCAATAAATTTTTGGAAAGTTATCATCTGGTATATAATTTATTTTATTCAATGTTTTCATGCATTTTCCTATACTTCCTATGGGTTATGGCATGTTTGGTTTCACTTTTGATAAAACATTAAATATAATTTGGATTAATAAATATGCAAAATCACTGGGAAGGACAGAGACAAGTTTACTTAGTGGCTCTAGACTGGCTACCTAAGTGATAGGGACTAGTGGCAATATTTTTAGAAAGGGGCAAGCTCCATCTGATCTCCTTGGAAATCATTGTGGTTAATTCCCGTTGAATTCACTAGGATGGGTGCCTCATTTCAAGCTGCATCCTATCACTGCCCTATAACTATTTGTAAAATGTTCAGAGTTGTCAAGAATGTATGTATTAACAGTGCTAAGTTTTAACTTATTACTCATGACATGACAGAAGGCATTAGATGACAATAGGGCAAGGGTCTGGAAAGAACTTCAGAATCAGCTGAAGGGCCAGCTGCCTGAACAATCTGTATGATTTTATTCTGTAGCTACATACAGGGGTTTGAACCCATAGTGTAGTAGAACTTTATTCCTGTACTTGAAGGTTTATTAGTAATTCTTATAATATGCCAAATCTCCCATAGTTCGGAATACGAAGAACTGACAAGAAACTCAAATCTCATTCTCTACAAATGAACTTGCACACATCAAAATCTACAAAAATACAGATTCATATTTTAGAATTTCGAAATATTCAATTCATCGATCAGAGTAACTCTATAATAATTTGACAGGAATGAAAATAGTGTATGAATATTTCGTTTGGTTCTTTATTTATTACAGATTAAGATTTAATATCTAACCTTCATTTCGAGTATTACGGATATATTTTTATCATTAACGTCAAAATAAAGTTAAATATCATGTGTCAACAGAAGTTTTCCGTATTCGTTATAAATTGAGGTACGGGGATTGTCCCTTGACCAAAACAGCTGATTTAAAGTGCTTCTCAGTAGGATGCATCATAATCGTCAGGACCTGTGGTTACCGCAAAATAATTTGATTATGTTCATATTTACCTACTTAAATATTTTTTGTATACACTCTTTGCCAACCCTGAATCGATTTTCAAGGTTTTAATTTGTTTGTTAAGATTTGTTTACGTTTAATATATGTAAACAGAATGGCAAACAAGTGGATGGTACCACCAGATGATAAGTGGTAATCGCCATCTATATACACATAACTTTTAAAATATCCCTCCTGGTGTACCTCTGCTTTATCTCACCCTTAAACTGAAGAACATCATAGAAAGTAATCTTCTTGGCAGCTCAAAAGTAGAGATTGAGGTACACATATAACATATTATTTTGCCCAAGTTCTGCACTAATGTTGATTGATTGTTTTATTGATAAATAGGGTTCATTTCTGTATAAGAAAATGCTATTCAGAGATTTGAACTAGAGTTACAGTATCGTAGGTAGTGTGGGTATCTCGGACTCACTATAAATAGTAATTCTGTCATTTTTTCTGGTTACTAAAGTTGAGCTTCGTCAATTGGGTATGTAGGTCGAAGATTATAAACAACACGAACTATTTAACGACCCCTTTCCATTGCGTAATATGTTTGTTCTTCGCCAACGCGATAGTTGAAATAGGTCAATAGATTCACTTCCCTGGTCGTCGTCGTCTTTTGTTTCATTTTTTATTTTACTGTAATTAATATGCGTGTAATAAAAATGGTGCTAGAAGATATTTTTAAGCAGTTTGAAATAGCTATTCAGCAAAGAGTTTTCATTGCCTTTTAGAATGTACTAACTGAAAATAAAATAAGATAAATAAATATGTTTTTCACATTATTACATATTTAAAAAAAATTTATCATGGGTATTAACATTCTCTACATGCACATATTTATTTTTATTGACATGAAGAACCTCCTTCCAGTTTGTTGTTTCTTCTTTCTGGAAGTTGGTATAGACCACGTTTCGTATCACTTATCTTAGCTGTAGTCCATCTGAGTCCTAAATTTAATTCAGATCCATTCAGCTATATAAATAAACCCGATTAAGCAAGAAAAATCCAAACATATTACAACTAATATTAATTGGGGTCCATTATATTCTATTTGTTTTATTAGTGATGTTGTTGTTTTTTAATGATCTTGTGTACACTTGTGCAAAATTTTAAGTATGGTGTACAATATATATTTTTTTAAAGATTAATACTAAAATATTTTACAGTTCCTACTACACTTTCTAAATTGGACAAAAAGAAAAGGTTATACAAGAAATGACGTAATACTTATGATAAGGAGCCATTTTTAACAAGAACTGGAAAGAAAATGAATTGTACTTAGTGATACAACATGAAACTTAATTTTAAAACGAATAGAGTGTAAAATCACTTGCCAATCTAAGATATTATCATAGTTCAATAGTATCACATTGTTTACGAATTATGGTTCTAACATTTTTCCTCAATGAACATAAACAACTCAATTTGAGGAAGCATTATAGTTCATTGGCAATGTAATTCACGGAAAATGGACATTAAAATATTTTATCAGCATAATAAAATAATCACGCTTTTTTTTCTATCGAGAGCAAGGTCGTATGTAAATCATGATCATCAGATACGATGACTGTTTATTTTATTAAAATGCCCAAAGTCATAATTGCAATGTACTTAATATTTTTAATTTATCACATGCAACACTTGTCTATTCTCTACTACAACTTTCTGTCAGATGGACTGTCAGATTGTTTGCCATTACAGAGATATTAAAAGTCTATCGAGGTCTTATGGATGATATTGGAATAGTGCACCCGACTGCGCTAATGGTTTACGCTGGCGGGCCACCCGTGGAGGATGATAAGATGATCATGAGGTTAGGTCAGTTAGCCTATGGTGCCAAATTCACCAGAAATTTAACATGATGGTTTCCAGGGGAACCGCGTGCGTGGTGGTCAATCTGACATGGTACATTGCTATAATCTATCGAGGGCATAATACCAGCAATAAGTTTAGTCTAAACTAGTGGTGCCCGAAACAGCCCAGGGGAAACTCTGGACCAGAATTACTCAGTACAGAACAGAATGGAAAAGATTAAAGGAGTCCTTTGCTTGGAAGCAAGCAGACGACCAACAACTATTACATATAGTGTAAAGAGCAAAAGAAATAATAATGTAACGACTAAATAAAGAGCTATAGTAATAATAAGTGGTGCCTGAAAATTCGTACGCTTGTACATTTATACTAATAATAAAATCTCCGGACACAGCCATCTAGTCCTAAGTTAAGCAGAGCTTATGTTATGAGTACTAAACAACTGATATCTATGTATT